ATTCACAAGGTCCTTTATCTGAACTCATGGTTTTATCTTTCAGCCTTCAAAGAATTTTATCTTAATGTAATATAGTGCTATTCAAAAAATTTATTGATCAATATTCATGTTAATTTTAATAAATATGTATACAAATTTAATTTTTAACATATGACACAAGTATAACAACATTTCTTCTGAATTGAATTGTCATTAAAATAATCAATCAAAATACAAATATAGGTAGAAGTATTGTAATTAGGAAGCAAAAATAAAATTTTCATTGGCAATTCATTTCTTATTGAAATGGTGGTGTTTCTTTTTTCCAATTAGTTCACATAGTCATGGATAATTATTATCTTTAATCTATGATGAAAGGCCAGTGGAAATTAACTGCCAAAGAAGAAAGATATTCTACCACCATTAGGAGCTGCACTCATGGTTCTATTAAATGCATCATTTACAATATACTGAGCAGTGTGTTTATACTAAATTACCTAACTCAAAGGACCATTGACTTCCAGGGTTATTTGTGCTCCAATTTGAAGATCACTATTATGGAAGATATCAGGATGACATCAAACAATGATGAATGTCCAATAGGCCACATGAGGAAGTCACTAGAAGGAGGTCAGTAAGAGTGTAGCCTCAGTAGCTATATACTAATGTGCACATAATGAATAACAGTGGATCCAAAATCATCGGTGACTGGCATAGCCTCACACAGAACACCATGACTAACAATAAATAAAATGAGATGATGAAAAGCTGAGGCTTCCAAATAAACAGAAATAGTCGAGGTAAGAACAAGTAGGACCATCTGTCATACATATCCTACATACTTTGTCACACTGAGGGAGTGATTCAAAACTCAGACCCCTGCATGCCACTTACCACCTGCCTAGTCAGAGTCTCTGAGGATAGGCTTGAAAACTGTTTGTGCTAATTCCGGACTTACGATCTTCTATACTTTGAAAATGTTCTATTTATTTTTGAGATTATGACTATATCACTTCCCCCTTTGCTTTCCTCCCCTCAAGCCCTCCTCATACCCTTCCTTGCTCAGTTTCATTTTCATGGCCTCTTTTCTCCTTAACTGTTGCTACACGCATGTGTATATATGAGAATACATATATATTCCTAAACACATCCGGTTCTGTGTAATGTTACTTGTACGTATGGTCTCAGGGCTGACCACTCAATCTGCCATGTGTTAAACCACTCAGCACCTAGAAAAGAGATCTCTATAATTTCAAAGGAAAAAATTCATCACTGAGCTTTAGAGCAGAGCATAGATGAGGATGGTTGAGTAATTACTACAATAAATCCAATTATGTGATTCCAATGAACATGAAAAGGGAAAGCTATAAAAACCAGTGTTGCTCCATGAAAGTACAATGCCAGCTTCATATGTCACTGAAAGTTCTATAACCATATTTTTAAATTTATAAGAAACAAGTTTGATTGAATACAATAAAATTAACCAATAATTCTAAAATTTTATCTTATCATGTAATACATATAAAAATAATAAACAAAAAAATTTTACTTCTATTTTAACTAATTCTTCCAAGCCAAGTATATATATTTCACACCGTACACATTTCAGTTCAGAATAGCCATATTTTAAGTGTACAGCAAGCTATCATACTGGTGGCTCTTTGGGGTGTAAAGAAAAGAGATTCCGATAGAAAGACCCCTCTGAAGTTCAGGTTCAAAGAAAAAAACTTGTGCAAAATATAAAACGAAGAGTGCAGCACTTTAGGACACAGCAATCCAAAGCCTCAAACGCCATACTGCAAACAGGTTTAAAGGGGAATGCAGGTCCCACCCATTGAACTAGAGTAGAGTCACTCATGTCACGAAAGGACAGGTGGCTTTCATGTTTTCCCTCTTGCTATCTGTGTGTTGCCTTTATCCCAGGACTGATGTCTGGGCATCAGCAGCCCCAGCTGTCACACTTTGATGCAAAAGGAATCCAAAGAAGAAGAAATAGAGCATCACAACTTATGTCTCTTCTTGGGAGAAAACTCTCTTCAGCGATGGCCCCTACAGGACTCCTTTCCTAGCTCACTGGCCCGAGCTGAGATTAATGCTGATCCTTATCCTACCAGTGTCAAGACATGACTTGGTATCTCAGAACTGGGTAATATCAAATTGGCACTTGGCATCCTGTCTCTCTTGCTGATGCAATTTAAAATTTGGATAAACTTCACAGATCTAAATTCAAGTGTCTACTTGGTGTTCTTAAATGTCTCCTATAAATGGCTGGGAAGCTTTAACTATGACATACCAATAATATGGCTGCCTAAACAAGACTTGAACAAGGACAATACCATTATGCGTGCTAACATGGAATGGCTCCATCCCTAACCAAAAAACTACAGGCTACCCAGGGAGACTGTGAGTGGGATACCCTTTCCCAGGGATGAGGACACTAACTGGCTATCCAATAGCAAGTGGTTGACCCACATGCAAGCAACACTGAATGTAATCAGCAGCTTTTACTTATATATTTATAGATAGATAGATAGATAGATAGATAGATAGATAGATGATAGACAGACAGGCAGACAAACAAATAATACAATAAAAACAAAAAAGAGACGTTTAGAAATTTGAGTGGGAGCCATGGGAGAGGTGGGAGGAAGGATGGGAGGAGTTGGAAGGAAAGAGAATGGAAGAAAACAATGCAGTTATATTTTAAATTTAAAAAAAGAGCATCTTAACATTAAAAATAGATAGATAGATAGATAGATAGATAGATAGATAGATAGATAGATAGATAGATAGACAGACAGATAGATAGATAGATAGATATAGATAGATAAGATAAAAGAAAATGCAAAACAAAGCAAAAAGTGAATAGCGATGGGAAGATCTAGAAACAACACTGGGACTCAGATCAACCTTCAGATAGCAGGGAGAGGAACATCCCCCACAGCCCTGGTTTTCTTTATCTTGGTTTCCATGAAACCCAAGAATTGGCGGCAGACATTGGTGAGGATAAAGGTCTCCGAAAGAATACCTACAATGCATGCACAAAGGGCAGGGCAAAAAGAGTCCCAGAAGCAGAAGTCCACAACCCCCAAGACCCACCTCTAAAGGTTAAGTTCTATATTACTGTATGTGTATACAGTATATATACGGCAGCAGTAAAAGTTAGATCGGTGCCTTCCAGGGGTTAGGAGGAAAAGGGCAAGTATAGCTACCAAAGGGAGCACAATGAAGGTTTTTAGAACTGGTGGTAACATGGATCTACAGAAGTGTTACAGTGGGTGTAGATATTGTGCACGCCTAAGTTTCAAAAGCACATTCATTGTGAATGGTACACTAGGGTTGGGGAGGTTGCTCAGTGTTCAAAGCACCCGCCACACAAGCACGTGTACTAATATTTGATCTCCAGAACCCACACAAATGCTGGGTGGATGTGGCCACCTGCCTATAATTCCCACTTGCCCAGAAGGTGAGGGGATCCCTGGAACAAGCCAGACTAGCCTTATTAGTGAGCCCCAGGTGCAGCTGAGGAAACTTGTGCAGGGTTTTATTGCTGTGAAGAGACACCATGACCACACAACTCTTAAAAAGGAAAGCATTTGAGGGTGGCTTGCTTACAGTTTCAGAGGTTCAGTCCATTATGATCATGAAGGGGAACATGGCATCATGCAGGCAGACTTGGTGCTGAAGCTGAGAGTGCTACATCTCACAGGCAACAGGAAGTCCACTGACTGTCACACTTGAGAAAAAGACCTCAAAGCCCGCCCCCAGAGTGACATACCTTCAACAGAAGGTGTGGCCCAGATTAAAGGTGTGCCCTCCAGCCTTAAGGTCTAGATTAAAGGCATGTGTCATCCAGCCTCCTCCAACAAGGCCACACTTCCTCCAACAAGGCCACACCTCCTAATAGTGCCACTCCCTATGAGCTTATGGGGGCCAATGACATTCAAACTACCACACCTCGCCTCAGGAAATAAAGTAAAGAGAGAGTGAAGAGTATTGACATCAGCTTTGAGTCTCTAGATGCATGCACACTCATAAACACATGTGTTTCCACACATGCAAGCATGCATATACATATGCATGCATACTACCCACACAGTTAAAAAAGAAAAGGAAGGAAGGAAGAAAGAGAGCATAGTCAGAATTGCTTAGGCACATAGATGCATGGGCTGGCTAAAGGGAGCAGACATCAGTTATTAAACCAAAAAAATGAATCTTTAAGGAGGAAGGAAGAGAGAATGGGCATGAGGTAGACAACCAGAAATGACCACTATAAGCTTGAAATAAAGTATAAATGAATGTTAGCAAATCGCTTAGACCTGCCAGCAGTCATGGCAATGGATGAACTTCTAGATTGAATTGAGATGTACCAAAAATAATGTTCCCCCAAAATGGGTTTGTTTTTTTTGTTGTTATTTTTTTGTTTTTTTTTTTAGTTACTTGGAGCAGAAACAAAGAAGAAATAAGCCCTCTGCTAAGGGCAGATGGTATAAGGTTAACAGATGACAGACGGGACGTGGAACAATCTCACTGCTATTATGCTTCCGTTAATCTGTCCAGATGACCTTAAATGAGTGAAAATGGTGAGTCACCAAAAAAAAATGTGCAATGTAATTTCATTTAATTAAAAAGTATGTATATGTGCAATGAGCATGACACACCCTGAAATACAAGCAGTTTATATTTTCGCTGTAAGATTTTCATCTTGCAGTACATATGTACTCCCTGAATAGTCTGCAGTTCACACATATTATTTTTGAAATAAAGGAGAACAAATAAGTCAAGTTTTAAGTGACAAAAAAAAAGGTAAAGAAACCGTGAAGAAATGACAAGGTCTAAATGAAGCAACTTTCACAGAACATGTAGAGTTTATGAGTTGCAATTAGCTACACCCGCAGAGCACTACAGGAACTTTGGGAGAATGGAAGACATGCATCCATGGCTTCAATCTTCAAAAAAGGCATGAAGTCAGATGCTGAAAAATATAGCAAAAATCTATGCTTAATTATTTAAAGAACACATTTGGAGCGCACAGGAAAGACGAAGCATTGGGGTCCCAGCTTGGGCTTATTATAGTAATCAAGATGAGAATAGATGGTCTAAACCAAAAAGAAGTCCCGACAGGCACACCTCATTTCTTTTTCGTAGATAGAGTTACCAACCATGGCTGCTGTGATGTCAGACATTCCATCTTCAACATCTTCTCTCTCAGAGTTCACAGAGCCTCAATTTTACTTGGAAGTATATATTGGTTATTTTGTAAGACTCCTCATGCCTATAAACCCATCTTCACACATCCCGTAGTTAATTCACTGCTTCCCCCAGAAGACCTGCTCAGACGAGTATCTTTAACATCATAGGAAATGGCAATTGAATCCTCGCCTTGTTCCAGTCAAGCATCCCGAGTCATTCTTCATTCTCTTTTCTCACACACCGTGAGAAAATCCACCCAACAAATGGTTAATTTCCCTTTATCTGGCCCTTCTTTCCACGGGTATTGCTCTAACCCACTCCAGGCTTTTCTCACCCAGCTTTCTACAATAAGCCTCTGCAGGAAATCCCTGCTTCTTGCCTAGGCCACACACCCTCACTATCCTTTCAAGTCATGGCCCTCCTCTGAGAAAACCCTCCAATGGCTCCTCACTTGTTCAGAATCCAAGTCTTCACACAGCCCTCGGTTCCCCTGATGAGAGGACTGCCATTCTTTTCAACCTCCCAACATACTCCCTATCTCACTGGTTCTATCCACAGTGCTTTTGCCTGATTGTGCCAGCAAGACACACTGCCGCCTAAGGCCTGTGCACTAACTGTCCTCTGACGAGAGCGCTTCTTCCAGATCCTTCCTATCGAGGTTGAGCATCTGTCTTGGTTTGCCTGATACACCTGTTATCCCCAAATGCTAAGCACGGACCTTTAAGCATGCCGGTTTAGATGCTATTACGTGACCAGCCTACTCATGCTTCACGGCCTTGTGTCTATCAGGTCTGCCCAATCTCATCCCTCATGGAGGACTCTGAACTCCTAAAGTTGTAGAAACAGGACCCAGCCCGGCACTGCTATCATCTTCTCTCCACTTCACACTCCCTGTCCTCAGTGCTTCCCGTATCCAGCTGTGCTCCATTGCTTTATTTTCATTGTGTTTTATTTCCTGTGTTCTGTCACAAAAACATAAACTCCCCCAAGGATAGATGACTTGAATATTTTGTTCTCAGTACCGTGTCCCATAGCTGAAAGTTTTCCTGTGTCCCGTCTGGCCCGCGGTCAGGACAAATGTCTCTCACCCGCCGGTCCTACAGCCACTCGGACCCAAATGAACACCCACAGGCTAATACTATTTTTAAACTATGGCCATAGTAGGCTTCTCGTTATCCAGTTCTTGTATCTTAAATTAACCCATTTCTATAAATCTATATTTTGCCATATGGCTTGTGGCTTACTGGTACCTTTACATCTTGTTTCTTCTTCTGGCAGCCAGCAGTGTCTCCTCTACTCTGTCTTCTACTTTCCCCTCTCACTCTTTAGAATGCCCCTCCTAACCTTATTCTGCCTCACCATTGGTCAAACAGCTTTATTTATCAACCAATCAGAGCAACATATTTTCACAGCATACAGAAAACATTCCCCCATCAGTGTCCCAGCATCTGGAGCAGTACCTAGCATGGGGAAGTCCTTCTCTCCTTACCTGTCCCCAGCAATCACTGTGGTTAGAATCCTGGTCCCTTCCCACATGAATAGGAGAGGAGAGAAACAGTCCTCAAAATAAGCTAAGTTCTCCTAAAATAAATGGTGCTAAGAAAAAAAAGAAAGGAAAAAAATTGCCAACCATACATATTTCATTTATGTGTGTGTGTGTGTGTATGTGTGTGTGTGTGTGTGTGTGTGTGTGTGTGTGTGTGTGTACACATATATATAAAACATTGCAGAACCCGGGCGGTGGTGGAGCACACCTTTAATCCCAGCACTCGGGAGGCAGAGGCAAGCGAATCTCTGTAAGTTCAAGGCCAGCCTGGTCTACAGAGTGAGTTCCAGGAGAGGCACAAAGCAGCTACACAGAGAAACCCTGTCTCAAAAAACAAAAGACAAAAAACCAAACCAAAAAAAAAACACTGCAGGATGCTGAATTTACTGAAAACATTTGTCTACCCCAATACATTGTTCACTGAAAGTGTGTATTTTTCCACACATTGAGGCTCTGATTCCACATTTTGATAAGCTCTTTGCAATTTTCCTACCCGGTAACTGATTTACTTTGCTTTAATAAGACATATTACTAAAATACTACACATCCCTTAACCATAAATGCTGTTTTCCTCTCTTTTGCTATGTGAAATAACTGTATATATCTTCCCTTTATCTATGGTGAATGTTAGGATGTGACAGCTGTATTTGTTTTTCATGATGCACGTGAATGATAGCACCTCCTAGGCTGATTTATCCCCTTCTTTCTACCCACGGTGATGTCACTACACTACTTCAGCTTGAAAATATGAATACTGAGACAACGGCTGCTTTAACTCCAGAGAACGCTCTGCCCCATCAACCAATAACTTCACTCAAAAGATAAAAAAAAAAAAGAGACAGAAAAATAAATATTTCGCAGAGCCATCAAAGCCAAATAAACAAACTGTAATTCCTGAACACCACATCGGGTGTAGAGACTGCAAAAAGATTGCTTTGGTTAAGATACAAGACACAGTCACTCCCAAGAAATTAAAATCAGTTAAAGTAAGAATTCTCGTGGAGTTGCTGCTACAGTTCTGTTATTGACACAAAAATGGTTCACCCACATTGGCAAATTTGGATAACTTACATAAGGAAAACATAAGCTGAACTAAAATGTTTTGGTTGGTAGATAATAGAATGTTTGGAGGTGGTGTTTTGTTTTGTTTTTGTTTTGTTTTGTGGGAGTTTCACTTTAAAGGGACCTAGAAGATTTTATCTCCATTTAGAAAATCATGCATGGTAGGCCTGAAGCAATGATTTATGCTGTGACATAATATGTTTTTGATGCAGAAAATACTTGTCAAAATGCTAGATACAAAGGCAGCTATGCTGAGTGTTTTAAGGAGAACGGGGAATACCTGGCTCTTGTCAGTCAATAACGTATCTGACACAAATAATGATTGAAAACTGACAGCTACACGATGCGATTTAAAAGCCTCAAGCTCCAACAAATGAAAAGGTGAGAAGTATCAATTTTGCATTTAATAGTAATTTTTATGTAATGTAATTGAACTTCTACTCATTGCAACAAACCTTATAACAATTGTATTAGTAATTGGTGAGTCATGGCATAAATAACACCTTTAATTGAGTACTTATTTTTTTTAGTATAGCTGCAACTCTGCCTCTAAATTGGGCTCAATTTGGCACCATAGAAGACTAGATTTACTCTTCCATCTTCTGTCTTTTTTGAGTAATTGTATATTTTAAACATACAAAGATAAAAGGGAAAACATGAGGTAATTGATGATGGAGAATTTTAGCTGGTCATGGCCCATGGAATAATGAACCCTAATTTTGGAAGGTGTGACTTTTCTGAAACCACAAATAAAGATAGTATACATTCACGAAAATAGTGAGAAATGTCTGTTCTAAACGGCGCCGAGAAAATCAAGGCATCACAAAATAGTTTTTCAGGAGACTCCCTTTGACTTGATACTTAACACTTTCTTATTTATACAAATCAACTACCGGACTCTACTGCAAATTACAGTCTTTGCCACTCTAAGTTTATTTCTGCAGGTTGAAATCTGTGGCAGAATCACTATGGATGGTTTCCTGTATCCACAAAATTGACCCCTGACCTCAAAGCATCTCCAGAGCCAATATTTTAAGAGGATCAAGTACTGTAAGCCTGTGACTTCATGCCAAGGTTTGTTTTATTTTTTTTTTAATCTTCATTTCAGAGATAAGCTAAAACTATCATCTTCTCAGTTGGGCTATCCTTCCACAAGCAAAACACAAGCTCAGATCATCATGTGTTGTTTTGTGTTTATTTGAATGCCTTACTTGTTTTCTAAAGTATTTTTGCCATCCATTATAAGAATAGGCAATGTGCTCTCATTCAATCTTTGTTTCTGAGTTCATATTTTCCTAGCATCTTTCCCAAACCTCTTAGTTTGGAGTGGCCATGTAAGGGTGACAGCCAATAGAATGCAAGGGAACAATGAATGTCACTTCCTGACTTTGTTCACAAGAAATCTTCTCTTTTTTAACTTCCACCCTAATTTTGCATCTGCTTCTGGCATGGAGAAGTCTCTGAGGTCTTAAAGTAAGTAGAAGAATATAGGATATACTAGGGTCTAGCTGAGTCCATGAATGGATATATAAATGATGGCCAGATTCTATGGGTATGAGCAAGGCTGTAGCTAGAGAGTTTCTCTCCAGCTCCAGCCAAACCCTGGCAGTCCTGCAGCCCACTTATAAAATAAACACACAGACTCTTATATTATTTAAACTGTTTGGCCTAATGGCTCAGGCTTCTTGCTATCTAGTTCTTATATCTTAAATTAACCCATATCTATTAATCTATACCTTGCCACATGGCTCGTGGCTTATCAGTATCTTACATGTTGGTACTCGTGGCGGTAGCTGGCAGCATCTCCTGACTCGGCCTTCCTTTTCCCAGAATTCTCTTCTCTCTTTGTCCTGCCTATACTTCCTGCCTGGCTACTGACCAATCAGCACTTTATTTATTAACCAATCAGAACAACACATTCACAGCATAGAGAACATCCCACAACACAAGGTTAGTAAATTCCTATCATGTAAAACTGTTGAGATTTGAGATCTCTACACTCCAGCAGCCAGAGTTTACTTCCATAATGCACATTCCCTGCTCCTAATCTAGTTTAATAGTGTCAAGAATAAAATTGGTTAAAGTAAGGAAAAACTTGAACTTGTCATGTAAGAAATCGTAAATCGGAATGGAGAGATAGCTCTGTACTTAAAATGATTTCAGAACATGCAGCAAACATGAGGATCTAATTGGCTCTCTAGAACCCATGTTAAGGGTCCAGGTGAGTAGTGGACTGCCTGTAATTCCAATGTTAGGGAGGCAGAGACAAGGAGCGCTCAGAGCAGGCTGGTTAATAGACTACCCTGCCAGTGAGTGATGGGTTCAATAAAAAGACTCCATCTTGATAGAAAGGTGGAGAGTCACCAAGGAAAAATCCTACATCAACCTCGGGCCTCTTCAAGCATGTGCACAGACAGACAGACAGACAAACAGACACACACACACACACACACACACACACACACACACACACGCACACACACGCACACACACACACACATGTCCATGAACATCGCACACCAATATAGATGAAAAAGAAAAATTATGAATTGCAATACTGGAGACCACCAAATGAAAGTGATGAGGAACTCATAGGCCCATGGTTTATAAAGCAGAAATGAGGATATCTGTTTTTGCAATGATTAACTATTGCAGTAGGGGGTTGGTTAAAAGTGATTGTCTTAAGCCATTTCAGGGAAGTAGCTTAAATTTTATGATTGTTTTCTTTGTGGTGCTGAGAGGCATTTATAAGAAATCACCTAAAATCACTTATATTCCACTTACTCAGCCGTGAAGACGAGCTAAATTGTGTTCTCTGCAAGAAAATGGATACGATCAGAGATTATCATATTAAGCAAAATAAGTCCTACTTAGAAAGACAAATATTGCATGTTTTCTCTTACTTCCAGAGCCTAGATTTTTCCTAAAATTATGTATGTGACATAAAAGTAGACATTAAATTGTCTAGGGGACTGATGGCTCTAAGGGAGGAAGGGGAGGGCTAATAAAGGGAGGTGGGTGGGAGAGATGAAGGCAATCAATGTCCATTGTGTACTTGTGTGTAAATGCCCTCTGAGACCCAGTACTATGTACAGGGAATACTTACCAAAAATAAAAAAATAAAAAAACTGCATTCCAAACAAACATAGGTTATTTTCCATTATGTGAACTAGCTAGTTTTGTCTGCTTGGAAAATTCTCATAACTTGCCTTTGTTTTATTTCTTTATTTTATATTTCATATGATCTTATAATGATCACCAGGGATTTTAAAAAGACAGGTTGAATGATTGTTCAGGAGTCCTTGCCTGCCTTCTTCCTACCACCAGGAGGAGATCATACCTACTGATGCTGTGTGCCTCCCACCACAGCATTATCTGTTTCCCTTGACTGTAACAAAACATCTAAAGATCTAACTAAAATTTCTAAAAACTCCAGGGTGTGTCAGCACAGCCTAGCTATGGCGAGCACCTCACGGTAGGATGCTTCCCAACAGGAGGCCCACAAAGAAGGGAGAAGCCGTAGCTCATCACAAGGAGTCAGAGAATGTTCCAAATGTCAGGGTCAGGCTCACGCTTCTGGCAACTCATTTCCACAGGGTGTCAATGCCACTCTCCCAGTGACAAGGAGACTTCTCACCAGGACCCACCTCTCAAAAGTCTCACTTCTCTGTAAGTCTCCAAACCATGATCTTGATGTCTTGCTCATAGAATCCCTCTTCTCTCTCTTCAACTGGACTCCTGGAGCTTGGCCAGAGGCCTTATCTTCTTGTAGGAGGGAATGGGGGGGGGTGTTATGAGGTAGGCTGGAGGGTGGTAGGAGGGAAGAGGGGGATCTGTGATAGGTATGTAAAATGAATTAAAAAATTTCTTAATTAAAAAAATCGCATTACAAAAAAAAAAGTCTCACTTCTGGACTGGTGGTGGTGGCACATGCCTTTAATCCCAGCTCTTGGGAGGCAGAGGTACAGGGCTCTCTGTCTCTGTGATTTGGAGGCCAGCCTGGTCTACAAAGTGAGTTCCAGGACTGCTAGGACTGTTACCCAGAGAAACCCTGTCTTGGAGAAAAAAAAAAAAAAAAGTCTTGCTTCTTAACAACAGCATGCTAAGGACCAAGTTCTGAAAGATGTGAAAATGGGCACAGCAGGATACAATGTATAGGGTCCAGCTTGCTTTGTCCAACAGTAGGTCACCTGGAAGCCTCTATTAAGGACATCATTGTTTGGCTCCAGAGACAATCGTCTGTGAAATCTGAGCCTATGCTACAGATTTGTGTTTGGTTTTGCTTTTTTGCTGTTTTTTGTTTTGTTTTATTAGGGCAGAGATCTTTATTTAATTTGATTGCATTACATTTCTTTTGAGTTTCCCACCCCCAGCTTTGGTTTTTCTAAACAGGGTTTCTCAGTGTAGCCCTGGCTGCCCTGGAACTTGCTCTGTAGACCAGGCTGACCTCAAACTCACAGAGATCCGCCTGCCTCTGCTTTCCGGGTGCTGGAATTAAAGGCATGTGCCACCATCGCTAGGCTGCATTACATTTCTAACAATAAGCACAGCCCTGATGTCCTTATGTGTAGACAAGTTTTTATAGCTATGCAAACACAGTCAAGAGAAGACTCTAAACACAGACTGCCTGGGTTCAAATATCTACAACCTATCTGTCATTTACTAACTACCTGAGTAAGTTTAACTGTTTTGGGTTGTAGAAGGAAGAAAAATATCCCATGTAGTTTTGAAGAGTTGTTGAGGCTAATCAAATTTGATAACTAATAAACACTAGTATGGGTTGGTACCAGCTTGTGGTAATGGGGCTATCTTTAATATATGGTTAACTTGATTCTATTAATCTGCGTTATTTCTAGGAAAATGTAAGAATTGTCTTTAAGACTTTTCCTCCAAATGATGCTCCCTACTGTTTTCTCCTCTTATGGAGCCAATCCAGGTAATTTTTAAAATAGTTATTATTTTTTATCATTAAACTATAATTACGCTGGGTGGTGGTGGTGCACGCCTTTAATCCCAGCACTTGGGAGGCAGAGCCAGGTGGATCTCTGTGAGTTGGAGGACAGCCTGGTCTACAGAGTGAGATCCAGGACAGGCACCAAAACTACACAGAGAAACCCTTCTCGAAAAAAAAAAAAAAACTATAATTACATTATTTATTGCTTTCCTTTTCTCCCTCCAAAGTCTTCCACTTACCCCTTTGCTCTCTTTCAAATTCAAGGCTTCTTTTTCTCTAATTGTTATTGTTGCTATTGTTGTTGTTGTGTGTATCCCTAAATATATAAGTACAACCTTCTCAGTCCATATAATATTACTTGTATGTATACAATTTCAGGGCTGATTACTTGCTATTGAATAACCAACTGGGGAGTCCCTTCCCTGGGGAAGACTATTTCTCCTTCTCTTAGCATTTCTTAGTTGCCTGTAGTTCTTTGTCTAAGGTTGGGGCCCTGTGGTATTTCCCCCTTCTGTCTTAGCGTGTCTGTTGGTGCTGTCTTTGTTCAGATGTTGTTTAGGCAGCCATGTTGATGAGACTCCATGGGTGTAGCTCTGCTTACATTCCTAGGAGACGCAATCAAAATGCAGACTTCCTGGTTCTCTGGCTCTTATAATCTTTCTGCTTTTCTTCTATGATGTCCCCTGAGCCTTAAGTGCAGGAATTGTGAGATGTGTGTGTGTGTGTGTGTGTGTGTGTGTGTGTGTGTGTGTGTACACATATATATAAAACACTGCAATCTCTTTGATAAGAGGTGAGAGCTACATTTCTCTGTGGGCATAAAAAAATATTCAGAATGCAGTAGGAATAAAGTAGTCATAGTAAACCCATGGTTGTATGTCCTCCAAGATCCAAGACTTCAGTAGCCTTGGGTAGCTGGCAAAGTTTCCAGTACCAGGCATGATTTCCCTTTTGTTGAGAAGAGCCTCCAATTATAGATCTGTGGGTTACAGCCAATGTTATATGTGCCTACATCATTAGAGCTACTGTGCCATGCCGGATATTGCTGTAGTTCATAGGCCTCATAGCTGGGTAAGACTATTAGTCACTTTTCTCCCTTGGAGAGACTTGCATGGAACCTTTTGGTACCATGCAAGTGAGTACTTAGGGAGGAGGCTTTCAGCTCAGATCTTCTGGGTCTTGTGTCCAAAGTACATGCTGTCTTTAGCAATGGGGACTTACCTTTCCCCACTGGGAGACAAAGAAAAGTAACAGCAATAGCCTATAATGTTTGGAAGTCTATGGGTATACATATATAGGTTAAGTAAAGTTTCACCACCTGGGGTACAGTGGCCCCAAAGAGCCATAGACTAACGAAAACCCCAATACCAGGCATGAGCCGTCCCCTTTTGAGGCTATGCTACATCATGTTTTAGAGTCTGCATGTGAAAACTCCCCATGAGTGACATAACGTGGGTTTCCATTTCTGTTGCATTGTGTAAGCTTCTGCCCAATGCTTGGTTTCACAGTCCTTGCCCAAGCCCACAGATAGTGTCAGGGCCTTTGGCTCTATATTTACCAGTATCACAGTGAGGGTCTTTGCGGGGGAACATTTTTGTATGTAGTGAATGTCAGTGGTTCCTAATTTTTGCAATTTTAGAAAGTTTAAGGTCACGTTTCCCTTGTCAAATGAAACTGAATTTTTAGCTTCAATGTACAGTTTACCTAAATTCACCAAAAGGCCACCTTTTCTATTTAAGGAAATGTATTGTTAAAAGAGAAGAACAAGAATACCTAAAGCCGACGCAGGCAGTTGTGACACACACCTTTTTTTTTTTTTTTTTTTTTTTTTTTTGGTTTTTCGAGACAGGGTTTCTCTGTGTAGCTTTGCGCCTTTCCTGGAACTCGCTTTGGAGACCAGGCTGGCCTCGAACTCACAGAGATCCGCCTGGCTCTGCCTCCCGAGTGCTGGGATTAAAGGCGTGCGCCACCACCGCCCGGCGTGACACACACCTTTAATGACAGCACTCAGGAGCCAGAGGCAGGTGGATCTCCGTGAGTTTCAGGCCCACCTGGTCTATAGAGCAAGTCCCAGGACAGCCAGGGCTACACAGAGAAACTCTGTCTCAAAAAACAAACACAAACCAACAAAAAAAAAAGAAAAGAAAAAGAATGCTTAAAGCCAACAAAATACAACATTCCCCTCCTCTGTTCTCATGAACCTCCTGAGCTTCTATTTGTGTCTTATCTGTGTAATACAAGTCACAAAAATCATACAAATGATTCTCCTATCATGCCTGTGTTTTCTATTTTTATTTTATGTATATAATGTTGCCTCTACTTTCTATTTACTAACAATGTTTCTGTTATTAATCAAAATGAGCCCTCAGATCACATTTAACATCAATTGAACTTAAAAGGCAAGAGGCAAAGATGACATGAATTGTTAGGCCACCATTTGTGTATCTTTTACATGAGAATAACCTCAATTTCTCTGTTTGACTAGAAAAGAAATAAAAAGAATGATTGCTATAAATCAGGAAAAAAATTCATAACTTTCTGGAGGTGTAGCAGCTGTTGATTTTAAGGTTCACATCCCTGATAACATGATGCTGTTGGGAATAACATCTTTTCACAAAGTGGTGAACATAAAAATTACAGGACTTACTCAACATTTAAATATTTTCTCTGTATCACTTACAGAAAAAAAAATTACCCAGGTTTGCTAAACTGTCTTTGAAATATAGAGTGTCTAATCAGCAGGCTTTACATAAAATTCAGTGTTTCCTTGTTTCACAGGGCCACTCTAGGCTTATCACACCCCAAACAAAACCAATGGATTAGCCTCACTTTAAAGCAATGGTCAACATTATTATGTACCAGGAGTTCTCACCATTCATAACACACACGGACACTCGAGCAAACACCGAGGATACTATTCATTTCTTTTTTTATCAGCTACAAGTAAGTTACCGAAAGAAAAAAAAAAACCAGGTGGCAAACAAAGCAAATGTTGCATTAACTAGGAAAAAAAAAATAAAAAGCTATCTCCAAAATGGAATCTTGAAGATGTGCAAAATAAGTTAAGTTTGCCGGCACTTAGAAACTCAAGCGGTGTTTTTATTTATGCAAAGCTGGTGTGTGTTGTGATGCATATTTTGGCACTGCTGACTCACAAACTATACTGCATTATGCTGAGGTTATGTGTTTCTTATTTATCAAGAAAATACAGACAGAGTCATCCATTAAATACCAAGAACAATGCCAAATAGTAACCTTGTCTCTTTACTCTTCAACAAAATTAAACCTGTTTCCTTTCTTCTGTGATGGTCCCTTAACCTGAGAAATAGAGCCCAATTTCCTTCCTCTTATTCAGGTTTTTCTCTTTAAATGGTTCTGTCATTTATTTGAAGCTCTTCTACAATGTCACTGCACCCCATATAGGTCTGGTTCTCTAGCATTTCAGGCTACTTTTTCTTTGAATGTTCAGACAAAATGATTTGCTTCTCTATGCCACATAATGTAGGAAAATCCAGACCCCTCTGTTCTTTTGAGAAGTAGCAAAGAGTTGCGTCCTATCCTGAAACCCTCTCATTTTTGAGTTAATTCTTGATCCCTAGCAGTGGTTTTCCCTTCCGGCTACCTACTACCTTCTCTCAGCATCATTTCATTCTCAATTGGGCGCCGCAAATGGTTCATTGCCACCAAGAGTCACTGTCAAAGGTCTTGTAAACAACAGAGTCATGGAAAACAGAAAGTGACTTTAAGCTTAAAATTGAATATCACTTCTGTGGTAGTTTGAATCGGTTTGGCCTCCATAGACTCATGTATTTGAATGCTTGGCCAATAGGGAGTGGTACTATTAAGAGGTGTGGCCTTGTTGGAAGAAGTGTGTCACTGTGGGGGCAGGCTTTGAGGTCTCATATCTGCTCAAGCTACACCCAGGACACAGTTGCTTCTGCTGCCTGTGGCTCGAGATGTAGAACTCTCAGCTCCTTCTCCAGTGCCATGTCTGCCTGCATGCCACCACGAAGATAATGGACGAAACCTCTAAAACTGTAAGCCAGCCCCAATTCAATGTTTTCCTTTATAAGAGCTGCCATGGTCGTGGTGTCTCTTCACAGCAATGAAATCCTAAATAAAACAACCTCTTTACTCCTTCATTCATTCTACAGAAATTTTCTGCCTTTGCCATGTGCAGAAGTTGCTCAAGATCAAAAAGACACAGTAGCGAACAAAATAGATAAAGCCCTTTTCTCTTTATAGAGCTTACAATCTAATTATGTTAGCAAGGCAGCAATAAAAGGGGGTAACCAAGCACTTTTTTATTGGATTTAAGGCCCTTCTCCATGAGATGGAATCCATACGTGACACTGCTAAACTGGCCTAGAACCTGAGACTAGATGGGTTATTGGCCAAGGAGACAACTTGCTACCATTATTCTGCTAACAAAACTTAGCAATTAAATGACTCTTAATGACATATGGCTATACATATAGATCAGTGCCTTGCTCAGCCCTCATCAGAGAAGCTTCTTCTTGCAGTAGATGGGGATTAACACAGAGACCCACAACTGGACAGTGTGCAGAGTGAGAGACTTTAGAGCACTCAATCCAAAGTGGAATGTCTTCCTCAAAGCTCTCCCCTCCAGCCTTGAGGCTCAGGGATCTATTTGGAAGAGATGGAAAGATTGTAAGACCCAATTATGATGGATGACTCCAAAGAAACCTTGTCTTCCAGATATGTGGTACTGATGCACATATAAACTCACAGAGACTAGCAGCATGTACAAGGCCTGCACAGGTTCAAGCCAGACAGGTTGCCAGTGCTGAGAGAGGGAAGCAGACACAGGCTCCCACTCCTAACTAAGAAGCTGTATGCAATTGATACCTGCTGGCAAAGGAAAAAAAATAAGCATCAGTTTTCTACAATGGAGTATCACTAGTTGTATCAACCACACTTCAGAGTAATAGTTAGTAGTAGTTAGCTCAGGAGTAGTTAGC